CCCTGTGTCCTGCCGCCTGCTCTGATATGAGGCACTGATCTTTACTTCTCCCTGTCCTCTCCTAGTCCACGTTACACATACCAGGACAGCTGGGCTACCTTTGCCAAACTGTACCTTGGCATCCCCCTTTCAATATATGATTGGCATCTCTGTTTCCCTTCTTTCCTACCTCCTCAGCTCGCTGCCCTGCCCCCATTCACAGTAGGCCCTTGCACCTGTTTTTGGGTCTGTTTCCCAAACAGCTTCTCTGGTCCCCTCTGTCTGTAAGCCCACTCCTCGTCCAGGCATCTCTGCTCGCCAATCCTGCCACAGCATCTGAGGGTCCCCTCCTACTCCCCTTTATTACCAAAGGAGCCCTGCATCCCCTTGGCCAGCCACGTGGATCCCACCTTCCCCTTCCTTGCCACACAGCACACTCACCCTAGTGGTTCCAGCCTACACCCCCGGCTTTAGCCCCAACTCAGGCTCCTACATCCCTCCTAGGCCCCATACCTGGTGCATGGCCTCTCAGTCTGCAGGGGCTGCCATAGTCCTGGGGCTTTTCTTGGCAAGTGCACCCTAATGCCTATTTTAAACTTGAAGGTATCCTTGGAAAGATAGAGCAGCCATGCCTCGTAAGCTAGGTTTATATTGATGGCGTTTTCTAGAATGGGGATTTGAACCAAGACTCAAAAGGAGTCACAGAGGTCTGTGTTCCCTTGAGCTCACCCGCGCGCCCCTTAACTTGAATGTCCCTTTTTCATTTGACTCAGAATCGAGAGCACTTTCTGGTCTTGTTTTATTCTGTGGCTGAGATAGAACAACTTGTTCAAGTGTCTTGGGATATGTTTAATTAGATTAAGAGGCAAACAAGAAGTCACAGGTGAATGAGTGGATCACAAGTCATTACTGGGGCCACAGGAGCAGGGTTCATCTGAAAAGAAAGGAAAAGAGCAAGAGTAGGCCAGTAGGTCCATAGAGCACACGTGACCAAGTGGAAAATGGATGGGGGATCGTAGACAAAGGGGAGAGGGATAAAACAGAGCCCTGGCCAGAAGGGAGAAATGGGGACACAATTCTCAAAGCAGTAACCTGGGTGTAGACTCAGAATTCAGACTGGTGCAGCATCCATGCTTCCTTGTCAGTGAAACCCTTAAGCCCTTTAATATTGCACTCAGGTTGGTTGTTCGGAAGCAGCAAGGTGGGAGCTAGGGCCTGCAGCTGCTCGTCTCCCTGTTTCAGTTGTCATCTCGAGCAGGCACCTGAGGGACAGGAGCCAAGAAAGAAAAGGCCCTTCATTTCCTGCCCAGTGTTCAGTGCTGCACAAGCATTTTGTCATCGATTCTTTAACAGCCTGTAGGGAGGAATTATTACTCGTATTTCAAAGGAGGGGGAAATGTGATCTGGTGACATCAATCACATTGTTCATAGCCAAGGGATCTGCAGAGTTATACGTTTACACCTGGTGTTTGTGACATCTCAGCCTGTGCTCTTGGATGTAGCACTGTCCTCTCAACCATGAAAGCTGGACTGCAGGACAGTCCATATCTGAGTGATGGACAAGTGATGCTCGAGGGCAGGAACCACTTGCTTTCATTTCTGTATTAGGAGCATCCGTTACAGAACTTTGAAGATGCATGGTAAAAATACATAGAACCGGGCCAGCATTGTGGCCAGTGGCTTAATGATTGTAATGTGAGTATCCCATATTGGAATATTCATTTGCATTCCAGCTACTCTGCTTCCAATTCAGCTCCCTGCTTCCACGCCTGGGAAGTCAGAGAATGATGACTCAAGTACTCAAGTCCTCCGCCATCCATGTTGGAGACTTGGATGGAGTTCCATGCTCCTGGCCATTTGAGGAGTGAGACAGCAGATGGAAGATCTCGCTCTCTTGCTCGCGCTGTTAACTCTTTCTCATGCTGTCACTCTGCCTTTCAAATATGTAAACCTTTTTAAAAGCTAATTGTCTGAAATGGGCTATTCAACAGCTATCTTTTTTTTTTATTATTTATTTGAAAGTCAGAGTTAGAGAAGGAGAGGCAGAAATAGAGGTCTTCTCTCCGCTGATTTTCTCCCCAGTTAGCCGCAGTGGCCAGAGCTGCACTGATTTGAAGCCAGGAGCCAGGTGCTTCTTTCCAGTCTCCCAGGCAGGTACAGGGGCCCAAGGAATTGGGCCATCTTCTACTATTTTCTCAGGCCATAGCAGAGAGCTGGATTGGAAATGGAGAAGCCGGGACTCGAACTTGCATCCATATGGGATGCCAACACTGTAGGCAGTGGCTTTACCAGCTATACCACAGTGCCGGCCCCAACTGTTATCTTTTAAATAATCACATAAAGCAATCTGAGCTTCTATGACACTAGGAAAAAGAGGTTGGTGCCTCCATTTTTATCAAGAAACTTTTACTTCATTGAGCCTCCCAATATCATTCTGCACTGTATACTGTATATAATTCCAACCACCTACCCCTTACACATATACTTCAGATGGCCAGGCTTGCTTGCTTTCAGGGAAAATTACCAGGCTTGTTTTCACTATAACTGATATTTCTCTGAGCATCAACTTCCATTGTCTTGGTAACTTCACCTCTCCTGCTGGGCTTTGTGTCCATAAAGGCACAGGAGGCTGGGGGCAAGGCTGTGGCTGGTTGTAGGAAAGCTCATTGTGTTACACTAAAGAGTCACTGTTGGGAAGGAACTAGCTGTGTGCTTTAGTATCCACGATCATCCACAAGGCATCCCTCCTCTATCTTAGAGGAAGAAAAGGAGCAGCCTACTGGAATACCAGCCTTAAAGAAGTGCTTCATGGTGCTGTGAAAATACACAGGGGAGCCACACAGAATGCAGCATCTGACCTTGACTCCAGGGCAAATGGTACTAATGTGAGCTCAATGCCATTTCACTGGGCCTGGGAAAAATGCAAAGCCCTTTGTCCTATGCCTTCTGAGCAAAGCTACTGAGCCACTATTCCTGCTTTGGAAACTGAAGATGGCCAAGCACTTTGCACCAGTATCTGAGTTCTCAGGGTCTTCAGGTGTCTCCCTTGGCTAGGTGGCTTGAGGGGAAATTACCCCACCTCTAGTCCTTTTCCCACAAGCAGGTGCCATAGAAGATGGGTTTCTCTTTTGCATCCAACAGTGTTTCAGGGCACCATGACCTCTTCTCAGGAGAGTTCTATGCAGTTTCCTCCTCTTAACCCACAGTCTCCCCTTTCTCTAGAGACCAAGTCCCCTTTCTTCAGGAGTCAAGCCTCCATACAATATTCTCAAAACGTGTTCCCAGGACCAACAACATCAGCGTCATGTGGGAACTTGCAAGAGATGGAGATCTCAGTCTGTACCCCAGACCTGTTGAATCAGAAACCCTGGGAGTGGATCCCAGTGAAATTCTGAGGCACTTTAAGGTTTGAGATCCACTGCTTTTGGCCCCAAAAGAAGCTCATTTTGTTGTATTGAGGATTTCACAGTAAAGGAGGAGGCTGGCATTCAGTTTTTATGGCAAAATCTCTTTGCACCAGTCATCCCCATGCCACCTCTGCCAGCAGCGTCAACTCCATCGTTTGATCTTCCTTTAGCTCTGAAGAGCTTTCGACTGAGCCTCACCCTTTGATGCTCCCTCTGCTTTGCTTCTCTTTGAGAAATTCATTCTCATTGTAGGTGAACTTTGACACCTCTTCACTGTATTGGCAGGTCCTTGACAGACTGTAAACATAAGGGACTTGTCTTTGAGGCAGGATGTGCAGGATTAGTCTAGACAAGGGCAGGAGTGACAGTACCTACAGAGAGATGAGGAAGGAAGATGACCCAGCTTGGGCTGTAACTTGTCCCCTACTTGCGGACAGTGGAGTGAATGTATATTCAGGGTCCATGCGGGGTTAATCCAGAAACAGGTGGTTGCACCTGTTTAGGGTGGGGAGCAGTAATGTTGCCAGATCTGGGGACTGGATCCCTGGAGCTCAGCTGTCCTGGGCAGAGGGACATGGAGAAGATCATGGTTGACAATGGACGCTTAGGAAGGGCAGGCAGCAAGGAGTTTGGACCAAGGTGGCTGTCATGGGAAGCTGCAGAGGACAGTGTTCTGGAAGGGCGTCCACAGCAATGGTCATGTGGTGTGAAAGTAACTGAATTTTAGAGGAAAAGTCAGTATCAAAAGATACTGCAGATTTTACAATGACCATGTCAGAGGGCTTGAAGCCTGTGAGAATTGAGATGGTCAATAGTATTATGAGCCCAGGTTAATAGGAAAAGGGCTGTAGTCAGCAGGTATTCCAGCGTGCCTCGGCCTTTATGTGCAAGCCCTTTGTGCCTGGGGACAGCCTTCACTAGCCCACATTCCTTTACCTGTGGATGGGGCCACTTGGTGACAACCCATAGCCTCTCTTATTGCAGAACCCATTTATGGCTTCCATTTGTGATGGAAGCAGAGCTAGATAGCTGGTGCTGGGATTCTTCTTATTTGCACATTCAGTGTGTGAGGTTAGAGGAGTTTGATGTTCATTTCATTCTCCAGTGTGACTGCTGACATGATGAAAGACGTATCTGTCTGGACCCAAGCAGTCTCTTTAGCAGGAATACCCAGCTGCTTCAGAGGTTCATCTGTGGACCTTTTTCTAAAACTGATGGGTGATTTCTGTAGGTGACAAAAGGCCCGAAGGCCTCATTGTTGGTCATAATAGCTACACACTCACACACACACACACACACACACACACACCCTGAGGACCAGTGTCTCTCAATTAGTGTTAATGGTTGATTATTTTCAGAGGCCTCATTCCATCCATCTCATCTGGATGACCTTGCTCCATACTGTGAGATGGGTTTCATGTGGGGCATGTAAGGAACTAAGCCCAAAACAGATTTTAAAAGATGATACATACCATGTGGAGAATAATCTTAGCTATCTTAAACATTTGTGAGTTCACATACAGGCTTGACAGTTACATTGCCTATGACTGCGTTTTCAGAGGGTGATAAACTACCCAAGAATGGGGGAATCAAAGAGTTCTTTGTCTTCCTTAGGTTATCCTCATGACTCCTGGGGCCACAGCTAGTGCAGGAGTTTTGCGGTATTGATGATACAGGAGACACATGCCTTTTAAGAAAGGAGGAAGAACTTCAGTTGTACACCATTTTCCGAGTGAGTACTGGATGTTGTGGATGTTGGGTTCCACAATAGGGCTGCATATTCTTTTGACAGTTTTCCAACACTATGTCCCATCCTGTTGAGTGTGGATGGGTTTGTGACTACTTCACCAAGAGAGCAGGCACAAGGGATGCTGTGTGACTTCTGAGGCTAGATCAAGGGAGCCAAGCAGCTTCTGCCTGGTTTTCTGGAATTCTCACCCCTGGAACCCTGAGCCTCTGTGTGATAAGTCTGACTACTTTACAGTGTTTTAATGGAGAGGTCACATTTAGGTGCCCTGAGCCCACCTTCTACACCTTTGAGATAAATCTAGCCAAGCCATTTGTAACAAGTCCATGCATTCAAGTCTTACTGGCTGGGCACCTAAACCTTGTGGAGTGGATATGAACCATCCTTGATCTGCCCAACCCAGATTTCTGACCTACTGAATCTGAGAGAATAATAAAATGATATTCTGTGCCACTGAACTTTGAGGGGGTTGTTGTGTAGCAGTAAATAAGTAGAACAGTAGGTAAGACTGGAATTAACATAGTAACAATAGCTACATATGGTACTATTCTTGTTCTACATATGGCAAAATAGGTCAAGCCAAAGTATTTCTAGTTAGCTTCAGGGGTGGGGGAATGGAGTAATAGTGATATCAAGATAAGTGTATCTTTATTTGAAGACAACCATGTGTCTCCTTGGGGAAGTACCCCAGAGAATTTTCAGGTTGGGGACTGGTCACCCAGGCATAACTGGCTGGTTGGTTTCAGGTGAACCATGTATGTGTCAGCATTCATGACCTCATTGGAGATCATTAAGCTGTCCAGTTCCCACTGAGACCCTGTGGACAGGAATGGTTTTGGTGTAGTAGGTTGTTAACAAGGAATTACTACCACAATAGTGCTGTAGAACATGCCTGTCCTCCCCCCAGTGGTTTAATGAAAAAGCGTTGATTTATCTCATGAGTCTAGCACAGAGATCTGAAGGAGAAGTCGTGAGGACTTTGCTGTTACCTGCAGTATCACCACTTGAGCTGTGCAGGGGGTTGTCCTGCTGCCGGGGCATCCCCATGTCAGTGCTTCAGCCACCAAGGGGGAAATTGCTGCTGCTGATGGTGCCTCTGATAGTGAGCTGAGAGTGCTAAAAGATGCTGGAGTAACAGCCACAGCTCTGCTCCAGGTGCCAGAACTGGAAGCAGGAAGAGTCCTTTCTTTCCTTTACCTATTTCTAGTGTCCTTCCCTTGACTCAGTGTTGGCCCAAAACTAACAGGAAGGAGGGACAAGGGATTCTGGGCAATGTAGTTTTTGAACTGCCTGCTCTAGAATCGCACAGCACAGGGAGGTGGGTGGGGAGTGGTTCCAGGGCTAAGAAACAGTAGGCAAATGACTGACACACTTAGGAATCTTAATTCTTGAAAACTTTAAGAGAATCTTTCAAAATATTGTTGACAAATCACAATAAATTAGAACTCTTTTTGCTAAGAAAAATATAATCCTGGGCCAATGTTGTGGCACAATGGATTAAACCACTGTCTGCAACACCAGCATCCCATGTAGGAGCCCCAGTTTGAGTCCCAGCTGCTCTGGGACTTGGGGCCAGGCCACCCACATGGGAGTTCCTGGCTCGTGACTTTGGCCTGGCCCAGCCCTGGCTATTGGGACCATTTGGGGAATGAACCAACAGGTGGATGATGTCTTTCTCTGTATGTCTCTCCCTCTCTGTCACTCCACTTTTCAAATACATAAATCTTTAAAAAGTATATAATCTGAATGCAAGACAACTTAAGCAAAAGCAAATTTGGACACCTAAAGCTGAATACTCAAAAAAAAAAAAAAAGCTAGATATACAGGATTAAGTGAAGTCTTCAGCACTTAGTTTCTCTCCATCTCTACTTTCTCACTCTATTTTCTTTCTTTTTTGCTTTCCCATTCTTAGGCAGGATCTCTTATATGGTAACAAGACTCTCAGTAGATTTGGTACAATAACTTCATAGCCACAAAAATAATGGGGGGGGGGGAGGTGGGCATTTGGCTTTAGCAGTTAAGACTCTGGTTAAGATACCAGTAAAGATGCCTGCATCCCATGTCAAAGTACTTGGGTTTGATTTCTGACTCTTAACAAGCAATTCCAGCTCACTGCAGACCTTGTGGGTTGAGGTGGGTGGAGAGACAGCAGATGATGGCTCAACTAGTTGGTTCCCTGCACCTTTGTGGGAGATCTGGGCTGAGTCCCAGGCTTCTGAGTTCTGGCTCCAGTCTGGCTCAGCCCTGGCTTTTGTGGGCCTTTGGGGAGTGAACTAGCCAATGGAAACTTTCTTTCTCTCCCTCCCTCACTCTCTGATTCTCTCTCAAATAAATAAATCAAATTTTACAATTAATAGGGATTCTTCCTCTCCCTTTCAGTTCTTCCACCCACATTCTTGAGCCAGTACTGATTGGTTCTGAAATGCCATGTGCTAGATTGTGCTAGGTTCAGCCACTTAAATATAGCTGGAGTTCAAGGATTGGATCCTGCTAGCTTCAAGGTTGGGGTAAACTCCCTCCCAGGATCTCTCAACTCTGAGAGGACTGACAGACTCAACCAGGAACTTTGACAGCTGACACACATACTCATCATGAGAAAATCTCTTGTTCCTAGTCAGACCTTTGTAGCTTTTTCACCTGAGTGGAGCTCCCCAGCTCAGCACAACAGGACTCTGGGGACTTCTGAGCACTGAGAATTTCACTTCTTAGGGAATCTCAGTTGCCTTCCTGGAGTCCATCCCCTTTCTGAGAGAGCCCCTCATTTCCCAGCCTTGCAGGAATCACCCTACACCAGCTTCAGCTGTGGGCTCCGAACACCTGGAGCCAATCAGTACTCCCTACCTTAGGGCCCTGTTCTGTGTTCATGGACTATGTAGGGAGCTCAGGAATCCCAGAGAAAGCTGGGGCATGGATTCTCTTTGCTGTGCTTGAATAGTAGTAGAGAACATTGCTATTGTTAAATCCACTATTGCATCCATTGCTGGTACTACCATTACTGTGATTACAAAAAACAACAGTGACTCTTGTAGAATTATGCTATGTATAAATAAATATATATGTACACATGTTCTTTATATATATTGCCTCACTTAGGAAAACAACCCTGTAGGGTAGAGGTCATTACTGTTCTCATTTTAAAGAAAAAAATTTGAACCAGAGAAGTTAAGTACTTGCCCAAGGTCACAGAGGTAAAATGCTGTGGTTTGGATTTAAAACAAGGTACACACGTTCTGCTTTGTGAAACTTGTAACTGGGGAAGACCTAAGTGGAAGTCTGAAGGTAGTGGGAGGCCACCATGTGGCACTGAGACATGCACGGATGGAGAGGAACCAAAGGTGCTGTCTTGCATGTCCAGTATCAAGTTCTTCCTGCAGCCAGAAATACCTAATTCTGCTCTTGTAAGTTACATGAATCAGTGGATTTTTCTGTATGACTTCAACCCTTGTGAGACAGGTTTCTTTGCCTTCCAACTGAACGAAACCACATGCAGAAGCTGGTTCCAGGGAGCAGAGGTTGACAGTGCTGGACACTGATGTGGCATTGACTGAGCTGACATGTGGAGAGGGGTAATGAGAGGAAAGCCTCCACTGCCGGCAGCAGGATTAACACTACTGGTTATGCTGCAGTGCGTTAACTGCTCAATTGCCCCCTGTTGGTTTTTGATATTCAGACCACTTATCTTTCAAGCTGTAGCATTAGGGGTCTTGGAGAAAATTAGGATGTTGAAGTTGGCCACTTGTTACAGCCTCCAGGAAGGCCTGCTCCAGTTATCTAATGATATGTACCAAACTGCTCTGAAACGCAGCAGCTTAAAACACACATTTATTATGAGCATTCACAGTATGTGGGGTGCCTGGGCTCACTCAGTGGTCAGTGCCTGGAGTCCATCATGTTGCCGTCCACTGATGGACTAAGAAAACTCAGCTGGGTTGGACGTGCAGACTGGTGCTCTCACAGGGCAGGGAGTTGATGTGGGTGGTTTTCTGGGAATTGTTAAGCTGTTGACCTGAGTGCCTTCAGGTGGCATCTGTAATCATGGAAGCTGATTATTTTGGGTTAAGATTTATTTATTTTACAGACAGAGTGACAGAGAGAGAGAGAGAGAGATCATTCATTCATTCACTGGTTCATTCCCCAAATGTCTACAGCAGGCTGGGGCTAGTCCATGCTAAAGCCAGGAGCCCAGAACTCCATCTGTGTCTCCCATATGGGTGGGATGGGCCTAAGCACTTGAGCTATATACCACTGCTTTTCCAGGTACAACGGAGTGAACTGGATTGGAAGTGGAGCAACTGGGACTCAAAACAGAAGTTTGACATGAGATTCTGGTGTTGCAGGCTGAACCCATGGAGCCACAACCCTGGGCCCTAAGCTCTGTTTTAAGAGGGTGTGTCCTGGGGCCAGCACTGCCTGCAGTGCTGGCATCCCATATGGATGCTGGTTCAAGTCCCGGCTGCTCCACTTCCAATCCAGCTCTCTGCTATGGCCTGAGAAAGCAGTGGAAGATGGCCCAAGTGCCTGGGCCCCTCACCCGTGTGAGAGACCCAGAAGAAGCTCCTGGCTTCTGGCTCCTGGCTTCAGATTGGCACAGCTCTGGCAGTTGTGGCCAATTGGGGAGTGAACCAACAGATGGAAGACCTCTCTCTCTCTCTCTCTCTCTCTCTGCCTTTCCTTCTCTCTCTGGGTAACTCTTTCAAATAAATAAATCTTTAAAAAAAAAAAAAGGGGCATATCCCAAGCATTCAAAAGGCCTGGATTTTAAGCTAGCATTCTGTCACTTATGAGAGAGTCAGATGAACCCATTAGTTTTCAGAGGAAAGGGTCACAGAAGGGCAGGCTTGCTGGGAGGTACAGCTTTCTGGGATCAGCACGGTGCGCCAGCCACAGCGCACCATCCGCAGTGACCAACGTAAAAAGGAAGAACTTTCTCTCTGTCTCTCTCTCTTGCTGTCCACTCTGCCTGTCCAAAAAAAAAAAAAATGCCAGAAAGAATTCAACTTTCCTTGGACTGCCACGGGCCCTGGGGAACACAAACAGAGGGACTGACTCTACTGGATGCAGATCTTTATCCCTGTTCCTCCCTGGTAGCAGGAAGAGCAACACCTGCTGAGCCTTGCACCGACCACCCAAAGCAAGTCAAGGGGATTCTAAGAGAGGAAAACCTCTTGACGTGGTGGGGGTGCACAGGTGAGATTGATGTTTATCAACCCAGATTGGCTTAGAGCAGCACCATTTATACTCTCCCAGATACCAGTCTGCTGGAGTGAATGAACCTGCCTCTTACCTCAGGTGTGTATGTGACCTGGGGCACCTCAGATGTATTCCACTGTGGCCCAGGGAGCAGCCACTGGAGGGAAAGTTTTCTTAGGGAAATAGCACACATGGGAGAGGGGGACCCCACCCAGGCCAGCACATCTCAAGCTGTTGTTTGCAGGGCGTCTGCTAACAATTCATTGGCCAAGAGCTGAGCACCTTCAGAGCACTGGGTATTCCCATTCCCAAGAAGGTTGGCCATGGATGTTTTGAATAACATTAGAAGCCTGAGCCGTATTGGGTTCAACTGCTACCTGTGGCATCCTATATGAGCACTGGTTCAAATTTGGCTGTTCTTCTGATCCAGCTCCCTGCTAATGTGCCTGGAAAAGCAGTGTTGAGTGGCCCAAGTACTGGGGCTCCTGCCACCCACATGGGAGACCCAGATGGAGTTCCAGGGTCCTGTGTCAGCCTGGCCCAGCCTCGGCTGTTGCAGCCATTTGGGGAGTGAACCAACAGATGGAAGATCTCTTTTTGTCCCCCCCTCCACCTCTAATTCTGCCTTTCAAATAAATAAATCTTAAAATAATCGAAATTCTGTGCCTGCAGAATCTTACCTGGGTGTGTCTGGCATAAAAGGGAGAAGTTTGGGTGTGCCTGTAAAGTGTTAGCCATCCTTGTCATGGAGCAGCAGCATAACACATGGTTGGGATTTTCTGTTATTTTTCACATTTCATACACTTATGATGTCATGTTTTCATAATCAGAACACACATGACAGAGAAAATGCCTTCTGAGAAGCCTTGTCCTTCTCAGCTGAGGGAAACAAGAACAAGACAGCCTCGATGGAGGGGATGAGGGCTGGGACTTTGGTTTTTCATCCCAGTGGTTTGCAAAGGAAAAGTGAATGCTGCAAAACCCACCTTGTTTTCTAAGCTTGTTCAATTCTGTGGTCAGGGCAGAGGCTAAAGAGCTGCTGTTTATAAGACGTTGACTTTTATTCAGGGCCGAGTGACAGGAAACTTTTGGTGGAATGGATGTGCATGCTCCAGTCCTGTTAAGAAGGCGATGAGTGCCTGGGTCAAGGATGCTCACTGTCTTCTCGGATGCCTCTGCTCTCCCTGTCCCCATCTGCAAAATGCCAAGGCTGAGTGCTAGTGATCGGTGAGGTCCCTTGCAGATGTCACTTCCAGTAATTCCAACATTCCCTCTAGCAGCTTGGTTATCTCCAGATCTAACACGTTAAAAGACGCACCCCAAAGGAAGAGTTCTAATTCCCTCCCTGTGCCTCGTGCTGACGGTCTTTATGGTAGCTCACACAGAAGCACATGTGGGAGTTTCTTTTATTATGTTTCCCAGTTGCACAAATATTAATAGGTAGGTGGAAATTTAAAAACACAAACAGATGGGCGTTTGATGTGGCACTTGAGATGCTCGCTGTCCGGAGCCCTCGTCCCCTATAGGGAAAGGCCTAGGGTGGATGCCCATTCCGCTTCTGATCTGTCCTTCCACTAGTGCACAGTAGGCATTAATGGGAGGAGGACATCGGTGATGGCTGTAAGTGCTTGGGTCCCTGACTACCCATGTGGGAGTCCTGAATTGAGTTCTAGGCTCCTAGCTTCAGCTTGGACCCAGCCCATGCTGTGTGGCCTGCCTTATAAGGACTGCACCAGTGATTACAGTTCTCTCCGTCTGTCTCTCTGCCTTTCAAATAAAAATTAAATAGTAAACAAAATTAAGGCTAGCCTCCATTCTGCCTTAAAAAAATAAAAATACAGAGAAAAAATTTACTTATAATTCCACCACTGTTAACTTTTTTTTTTTTTTTGACAGGCAGAGTTAGACAGGTGAGAGAAGAGAGAGAGAGAGAGAAGAGAAAGAACAGTCTTCTTTCCATTGGTTCACTCCCAAATGGCCCCACAGCTGGCGTGCTGCCCTGATACGAAGCCAGAGAACCAGGTGCTTCCTCCTGGTCTCCCATGGGGGTGCAGGTACCCAAGCACTTGGGCCATCCTCCACTCCCCTTCCCTGGGCCACAGCAGAGAGCTGACTGGAAGAGGAACAACCAGGACAGAATCCGGCAAACCCCATATTGGGACGAGAACATGGAGAACTGGTGCCACAGCTGGAGGATTAAGCCTAGTGAGCCACAGCCACTGGCCCACTGTAGCTTTTATAATACAATTTCGCAGTATTGTTCATTGCAGGTGTACCAGAACTATTTGAACAACTATTTATTTATTTGAAAGGCAGAAAATGAGAGAGAAATAATAAAGCACTGGTTCACTCCTTAAGTGCTTGCAACTTCTGGGCATGGGCCAGGCTAAGCCAGAAACCAGTAACCTATCCTGGTCTCCCGTATTAGCGGCAGGAATTTGAACATCATCTGCTGCTTCCAAGGTGTGTTTGCAGGGGGATGGATCAGAAGTGGGTAGCCAGGACTCTAATAAGCACTCTAATAATCAGTTGCTGATCTCTCAAGTGGTGGCTGAACCTGCTGTGCCACAATGCCCTCCCCTGAACTGACCTCATTTTTATTTCTGCTTTATAAGTTGTGACATTTCCTGTACAATTATCTTCTAATCTATTATTTTAATAATTACTAAACTAATATTTTAATAATTACTAAACTAATAACTCTAACATTTTAATAATTTAATAATAAAATTATTAAATGAGATTTAATAATTTAAAAAATTTTCTTCATGGATTACAATAGCAGTAACCATTTTTGACCTTTATGTGTTTTCAGTGTGGGGAATGGATGAAGAGTTTGAACAGCTGAGTTTGAAATACTGGATCTAGGATTCCTTACAGAGTGTGTGACTGGCCAGAGGTCCTGACACCTTTAAGACTCAAGTGGAAACACAGCATCTACTATCTATGGAAGGTTTCTTGTGAAGATGAAATAATACTGGTTATGACACAGGTCAGTGTCCCAATCATGCATCCCATGCTTGCTCCCCACCCTGTCTCTGCCTTCATTAGCAGCTTCACTTTCCACAGAGGACCCTCCAACTCTCTCTGTGGAACCGGAAAAGGAAGGCTGCAAACACTTGGCAATTAGATCATAGTATTTCTGATTTGAGTAAAAGATATGTACACATACATACACACACATATGTATAAGCCTGTATATATACTTAAAAGGTATATATATGTTCATTCTTGTGAGGTGATTGCTCTTGTCCCCAAGCTGGGTACAATACAGCATGAGTTAACCAGGTGTTTGGGTATCCCCAGCACCAGACAACCCTGTGAAGTCAGCCAGGGGCCATATGCCCTTTGCATTTCTCTGTGGAGAGGACATGCAGTAGATGAGGGGACCCAGAGCACCCACGGATCCTTGTATTAGGGACTCTTGTGTCCCTAGCTGCTCAGCCTCCAAATGACCCATCCTTTATATTAACAATACCATGTAGGGCAGCCTAGAACACGTTTGATCCCTAGGTCCCTGTCCTTAGAGGCTGGTGGTGACATGAAGGACAAGCTGTCCCCTGTAAAGGAGGGGGCTTTACAGAAACAGCCCTGTTCTCACACGGAGCAGAGTTCCTTTAAGATAATTTCTTACAAGTATAATTACCCTTTTAAGTTTGGGCAGCTTTAAGGCTTTTAATAAATATACACTATTTTGCCCTCAATGATTTCAGAAATTTACACTCTGTTTTCATGTGTTTTTACCAAAATTAGGAAAAAGTACATAGCTAAATTCCACTATTATGATTCTAAAATTAATATACATGCTTACTGAAAGAGCACCCAATTTTTTAAAAAATCCAGTGCATTTTTCTACAAAATGAGCTCTGCATATTTTTAATGCAAGCTAGCATTCCATGGTATCATAGTGTTTGATGTAGTCAGGTATTTATTAATTAGTTTAGATATATTTTGTTATTTGCTAAATTTTACAGTGAGTCTTGAAAATATATCTTCATAAATTTGTTCAATTATACGTCAGTATAAATTTTAGAAATGAACTTGCAGAGTTAAAGGATAGTCAAGGGGCTGGTGTTGTGATGCAGTGCGGTAAGCCACTACTGGCATCACACACTGGAATGCTGGATTGAGTCCTGGCTACTCTGCCTCATCCAGCTTCTGCTAATGCGCCAAGGGAGGCATCAGAAGAAGGCGAAGATGGCCTAGGTGTTTGGGCCCCCCACCAGCCATGTGAGAGATCTGCATAGAGTTCCTGTCTCCTGATAGCCTGGCACACACTTCGCTTCTGTGGCCATTTGAGGAGTGAACCAGTGGATACAAGATCTCTCTCTCTCTCTCTCTCTCTCTGCCTTTCAAATAATTTTTAAAAAAATAATCTTTAAAGAATAAAATAGGCCGGCGCCGCAGCTCACTAGGCTAATCCTCTGCCTGTGGTGCTGATACCCCGTGTTCTAGTCCCAGTGGGCGCTGGATTCTGTCTCGGTTGCTCCTCTTCCAGTCCAGCTCTCTGCTGTGGCCCGGGAGTGCAGTGGAGGATGGCCCAAGTCCTTGCGCCCTGCACCCACATGGGCTTCTGGCTTTGGATTGGTGCAGTGTGCCGGCCGTAGCAGCCATTTGGGGGTGAACCAACGGAAGGAAGACATTTCTCTCTCTCTCTCTAACTGCCTGTCAAAAACAAAAATAATAAAAATAAGGATAGGCAGTCTTAGAACTTTCTGTTTAAATCTACTCATTATCAGATCACTCCTAAAAAGGTTATGCTAACTTTGCCTCGCTAGGAGTAACCGATTCTGAATGACATTGATGACATTGATTATTGTTTTTTAGCTTTGCTTTTTTTTGGATCAAAAGGTACAATGTTTAACAACATTTAACTATTTATATTGCTATTTTTTCTAAATTGTATTTCTTAATTTGCTGATAACTTTGATGTTTTGTTATAAGCCATTGACATTGGTCTCCTAGGGGATTTCCTATATTTTTCTTCTTTTTTAACTGAGATTCTGTTTGGTTTGCTGTGTATACTATTAATATTGCATTAATAATTATATATAAGCAATTTAATAGCACATATTAGTTATTGCTATGTATTAGATTATTTTTCATATGTATTTTAATTTCACGAGTTTTTCATGTGACTCTTACCTGTCCTTTACATGCCAAGCTCAGAATGTTCTTATCCCTAGATTACAGTTTTTCAAGTTATCTTAAAATTGTATTTCCATTATTTGAATCTTGAATTTCTCTGGAATCATTTAGATGGAAGCTAGAGATCAGAACCTAATTTTGGGGGCATTTAATTGAGTAATTTTATTGAAATAAAGGTGTGTCTGTTTACACTGAAAAAAAAAAGTTCTCGTTGGCACTTTGCTGGGGACAGCACCTTTGAAATTAAGGCCGTGGTGCTGCTACTCAAACAGGCAGATCACAGTGCCAGCCTCCTTCTCAGCACAGGCCATGAGGATGGCAGATGGGGAGTCCTCTGTGCTTGCAGAAGCTCCCACTTGTGCTCTGGCTTCTCGATCCTCCTGGGAATGCCAACTCTACCCCTAGCTCTTCAAATCTGGAGGGACAGTTTCTTCATTCAACAGTTATTGAGGTTCTGACTGACTCTTTAGTGTTAAAAAGGAGTATCTCAGGTGCCCTGCCCTGAGATAGTTTACCACGGAGAAGGTATCATCTCCACCAGCTCACATCCCAGTGCAGGCAATAGGTATATGACAGCACTGACTGGCACTCATCATCAGGGCCAAACTGTAATAGCTGCACACAACTGTGGGGTGCATCAGTACAAACCCCCCAAAACAGGGAAGGAAGAAACTGTGTGATAAATGGAACATTCTTCCATTGGATGAATCTAGGTCTGCAGTGGAGACATGCTGAAAATGAGGGCGATCAGCAGGGCAGCATCGTGCAGAAGCACTCCGTAATTCCCTAGCTCCTTCGGTCCCTTCACTACAGTGAAGATATCATTCAGGAACACAAAAATACAGCGTCCAGATGAAAGGCACCATCAGAGCCTCTCTGTGGCCCCGCCCCACCCCATTGTGTTGAATGGTTAATCAGAATCCAGTTTCATTTTGTCCAAATTTAGCCAGTTTTCCTGTCACCAATTATAATAAATAATACATTGTTTATACATATGAGATTTGCCTGTATCGTAGACTACGTTTCATTTTGTCTGCTTTAGAAATCTGAGCTCATGTTCTTTGCCCCATTTTCAGTGTGTGCACCCTGATTACTTGGGTTAAATCATTGAGGCTTTTAATGTGGCCTGAAATATGTGTTCTTTCATTACTCTTTGTGAACATTTCTTCTATTTTCATACAAATAAATGTGATTCCAGTACAAATCAATATCCCCATTTTAATGTTGTTGATGAATTTATAGATTAATGTAGGAGAAAATGACATTTTTGCAATTGTGTCTTTCCCCAGGAACATGTGAGGTCCTAATATTACATTCGTTAGACATGTGTCATTTCTTTCAGGTAAGTCTTGTTAAATTTATATTAGGCCATGCTATTTGTTGCATAATATCAAAATAACTTTATTCTTAATAGCACCAGTTTGTATTGATATAAAAGCTTTTTCTTTTGTAAAGATTACTTTTGTAACCTAAAATGATCCTTAATTGTGTCATACATTTTAACATGCTATTTTTAATTTTATTTCTTTTTAAATTAAAAAAATGTTAAGGTAAACACATTTCATGTATTTCATGGATACAGATTTAGGAACACAGTGGTATTCCCACGCATGCTCCCACCCTTCTTCCTCCTTCTTTTCTTATTTCCTCTCTTAATTTTTATAATGATTATTTTCGATAAGTGAATAGTTCAACAAAAATACGAATTACACAAACACTGTTCCTCAACAGTAGAGACAAGGGATGTAAACAATTATCGAATCTTAAAATGTCAGTTTCACTGCTACACATTACATTTTGGTACACAAATGTACACAGATCTGGTAAAATACGATATTTGTCCTTTTGGGACTGGCTTATTTCACTAAGTATAATGGTTTCCAGTTGCATCCACTTTGTTACAAAAGGCAGGATATCATCCTTTTATGGCTGAGTAGTATTTCCTAGTGTATATGTACAACAGTTTCTTTATCCAGTCATCAGTTGATAGACATCTCGTTAATTCCTAGTAAGCATTCATACTTGCAAATCATGATAATTTGGGTCATTTTAGCTTCTAATTATACATTTTTCCCCTTTGAGGCATAGCTAGAGGTTCTAGGACAAAAAAACATTCTGGTGATGTTAGGGTTCCTTTTTCCTTCTTGATTTATTAGCATGCTTCAAAATATGAACAATATTTCTATGGATTCTGATTTCTTCAATGACATTTACCTTTTACTTTCCCAGAATCTACTAAGAGATTCATGCATTTTTTCCTCATGTGATGAGTTAAATAATGTATATCTATTAAATTATTGTTGAATTTCCAGATAAAGTCTTTATTATTTTTTGACTCTGTTTTATATTATGCCACAGGATTCAATTTTATCAGACTTGGTTTATGATGTTACAATTTACAGCCATTTCACATTTTACTCCTCCTCTTCTTTCTCCTCCTCCTCATGCATGAATAAGCATGATCAGACATAAGCTGAATGCATAAATATCTTAAAATGTACTTACATAATTTTTACCTTTAACATTATTCTTAAGGTATGTGTCATTATTTTACTTCAGGAAAATGATTTAGAACAGTTAAGTGTCCGAGTCATAAAATATTTCTTTGCAATAGAGCAAGAATTTTAATGTAGTTCCAATTAATTTCTAAGCCTCTGATTTTAATCATTTCATGTATCCTTTATTTTTAGTGGAAAGATCGGTACATAGATTATTTCTGAGAGTTCTCTTTGTCAAATTTTATTTTCAGGGGTTGGGCTCATCTAGTAAAACAAGTTGAAATGCTTTCAGTCTTTTGAAATGTTATTAAATATTTTAAATATTAAATTAAAAATCCCCTCTATCTGAAAATATGTTTATTGTTCCAGAAGAGTGTATTTTCATTTTTCCTGTATCAAACTTGCTTGATTTTACATTTATTGGCTTTGTAAAAGAAAAAGTACTCTATATATCAGTTAGGATGTTTTTCTCAGTTTGATTTGGTTTAAGAATTATGTCTTAGCTTCTTGGATTAAATACCCATTTCATTAACTCTCTAAAATGATCATGAGACCAAACAAAGCTCGTGTTTTATCCTTCTTCCAATGTCCTACTGAAAAGACCCTACTCTTGTAATAGGGATAAATGCACACAGTCAATAAAGCACAAAATATGTAAGAAATTCAGTGATCAAGGGAGCATGTGACAGTAGGGAAGGGTTGGTGAGTAGGAAGGAAAGCCCTCTAGGAGTTTAGGGGAAGGATTCTACCCTACCTCACACACATGAACATGGACTACAGAGCAAATCCATTAAACCATGACATAAATGTTCTCACGTGTGTCTCTTAGTACCACAAGATCTTTGACAATTCATTTGTCCAGCGAACAGTATAAACAATGAGAAAAGTGAACTCAAGAAAACAGAAATTGAAAAAAATACATTAGTAAATTTTAAAGATTAAAAATATTTGAGAACAACAACAAAAATCCCACGATAAAACATGATCACTAAACTAAATTAAAATTTCAGCAGAAGTAGTGGGTATTACATAACCAAACCAAACAAGAAACAAAACACAAAGGATAGAACTACATATCTAGCCTAATGTTTTGTTACTCCTATGCCAAATATCCTCATTCCTCTCCCACAGGCCCTCTGCAGATTACTTATGTAACTTGATAATACTTTGCCTGTCTGACGAATGCCTCTCTGTCACAGACAGGCACTTGATGTACTTTGGTCAGCAAAAAGTGAGTGAGTGGACTTAATGAGTATGATGCTGAACCGGGACTTTGACCACCTGTTGGGCCCCACTCTCTTCTCTTTGCTTCTCTCTGAAGACAGCCATGGAAAACCATATGGGGCTGCTCATTCAGCCCAGGGCCTATCTACAAGTAACCTGGGGCAGCTGATGCCCACATAGCACAAGGGAAATAGAATCCTTTCTTATTAGAAGCACTGAAATGTCAGGATTGTTTGTTATCACAATGTTTGGTAGTCAGCTGGCTGATTCCACAAGCTTGAGTAATTATCCCAAATTCGGGGGGGAAGCATAAGAATGAGTGAATATGAATTTTAAAGATAAAACTTGAAAGACAGGGGGATAAGAATCCAGAACACATGGGGAAGGAGTTCAAAAGCATATTGTGATTAAATTGGAAGCACAAGAAGGGCATGAGTCGATCAGGGAATGATTACATTCTATAGAACAGTAAATATTTCTGTTGTGAAATGTGTCACTATTGTTCCCTTATTTTTTATTCAATGCAACTTTGCAGATTTCTTCTTTCAATTCCAGGACATTTTCCTGATTACCTCTGATCCTCAAGTGTGTAGAACAATGAGTGATACCAAGTTAGTTCTTTTTGAAGCATCTAAAGGAAAATGACTATTTTTCATGATAATTCATCTTCTTTCTGTATTGGTCCCTTGTTCCTGGCAGAAAACCAAAGGCCCCTGCTCTGTCCTGAATGTGCACACCCTACACACAAGTTCCCCTCATGGTTCCCATGTTGGAAGTTAATTGCCGATGTTGTAGTGTGAAGAGGTGGGCCCTTAGGGTGTGGTTAAGTCCTGACAGTGAGGCCCTCACAGATGATGGACTGCCGGGGTGGAGGGAGTGGGTGCTGCCTTTCCCTCCGCTGAGGGCACAGCAGTGAGGCATCATCCTGCAAGCCCGCGGCAGCCCTCACTGGACACACCAAACCTGTGCTGCCCTCACAGGTGCTCCCCACGCTCCAGCACTGGGAGGAGTGAATTTCTATTTTTGTGAATCACCTACCCTCAGGCATTTTGTTAGACCATTGCAAGCAGACGAAGCTGTTTTATCCTTGGTTTTCTGAGTTGGAAGGGGTACGGGAAGCTAGCTTCAGAGCCTTCACTTTCTCCAGAGAAACACAGGGTTCTCTCTTTTTTTTTTTTTTTTCGACAGGCAGAGTTAGACAGTGAGAGAGAGAGAGAGAGACAGAGAGAAAGGTCTTCCCTTTGCTGTTGGTTCACCCTTCAATGGCCGGCGCAACTGGCGCGCTGTGTCCAGTGCACCACTGCTGATCTGAAAGCCAGGAGCCAGCTGCTTCTGGTTTCCCATGGGATGCAGGGCCCAAACACTTGGGCCATCCTCCACTGCACTCTCGGGCCACAGCAGAGAGCTGGCCTGGAAGAGGGGCAACTGGGACAGAATCCAGTGCCCCGACTTGGACTAGAACCTGGTGTGTCAGTGCCGCAAGGCAGAGGATTAGCCTATTGAGCCACGTCACCGGATGAAACAGGCAGGCTCTCTTCACTCCCTGCTTCCTAGGCTGGAAAAGGGAAAGCTCATCCAGTGAACTGTGGTTGAGAAATCAGTTCTTTTGCTTTCTGTAGATCTGTTGTAATACATATTTAAAAACTAGTTATTTAAAAGTAAAATCCAAGGCATACTGGAGTTCTTGTTTTCTTATTTCAAAGTGTAGCATGGTCTGTGCTGTGGTGTAGCAGCACCTCCTGCAGTGCCAGCATCCCACATGGGTACCAGTTTGAGTCCTGGCTGCTCCACTTCCAATTGATTTCCCTGTTAACATGCCTGGGAAAGCAGCAAAAGATGCCCCAAGTGCTTGGACCCCTGCCACCCACGTGGGAGACCTGGATGAAGTCCTGGGTCCTGGCTTCCGACTGCCCCAGCTCCGGCCTTTGCAGCCATTTGGGGAATGAACAGTGGATGGAAGACCCCCCTCTCTCTGCCTCTCTGTCTGACTCTGCCCTTCAAGTAAATAAATAAATCTTAAAAAAAGACAATGCATCATAACCATCATCTCTCAGTTGATAAGGAAAAAAAGAGCACTTGAGTTTTAAGATAAAAACACATTTTCTCCTAAGTAGCAAACATATGAGGGCACTTCAAAAACTTCATGCAGGGGCCCGCACTGTGGTGTATTGGGCTAAGCCTCTGCCTGCTGTGCCAGCATTCCATATGGGTGCCCATTCATGTCCCAGCTGTTCCTCTTCTGATACAGCTCTGCTGATAGCCTGGGAAAGCAGTGGAAGACAGCCTAAATGCTTGAGTGATCAGAAATCTGTGAGTGATCAGAGCCTATCACTCCAGGCCTCTGCCTCACAGGCAACAGTTGATGATTTGGGGAGAGAGAGCTGCAACAGTGAAATGACAGTGAAATTGCAGACAACGCAGCAATGCCTGGTCAGCCCCCCCCAAATACCTGTAGGATGAACACAGATGACCTCGAGGTAATAACCCACATGAGGTCATCCCATCCGCACTCAGTGAGAATCCCATGTTTGCGGCAGTCCTCAGGCACCCCAGGCTCTCAGGGCAGCCACTAGACCCCATCCCACCTGCATGTTTGCTGTTAATTTAGGAGCAGATGCAGAATTCAGACCCTGGATTCCAACACCTGTAGAAAGTCTTCTGCTAACCAAGGGCCTAGGATATGCTTGTGTCTTTCCAGAGAATGTGGGACAGCCCATTTGGGTCCCAGCCAGAAACATCAAGCCTGCAACTGACAGTCAACCAGAACCAGCTGAACAAGACTGAGAGCCCGCCTTGTTGGGGACGCACCTCCCCAATCATCCTACCCTGAGGAACTGCCCATAGCCACATCCATTACTGCTTTGTACCCCACTAGCTCTGGTCAGCCACTCAAATGGCACACAGCCTGCATGTGGTCATGCCATTCCTGATTACCACTGTTCCTCATTCCTACCCCTTCTGAGCAAGCACTCCTGTGGTCTCCCATTTTGAGCGCTGGTTAGTCAACGACGGGTAAGATCCCCTGGGGGACAACCTAAGACAGGCACAGCTGCGTATGGAGACCACATGGAAACGGGGTCAACAATGGCATGGCCAAGAATCATGCCTCCCGTTGCTCAAAAAAACGAAAAGGGGGAAATGTAGTGCAATGAGAAGGTGAGAAGGTCATGCCAAGATGGCCGCTGGCAAGTGAGTGTCAGTTACTCAGGAATGGCTTTGAAATCCACCTGGCAAGGGAGCCTGCCTGGTAACAGGCTGTGATTGGATGGCTTTGGAAACCACATGGCAACAGAGCCTGCCTGGCAACAAGCTGTGATTGGATGGTTTCAGATACTGCCTGGCAACAGGTTGTGATTGGTTAGGGCATAAACCACCCCTTGACTGGATTGGCTGCCTTGGCTATTTAAGCTGCTGTACCAACTGAAATAAATGAGTCTGCGGGCTGCTCACCTCTGGCCTGCTTTCACCCAACTCCGGGGGTCTGTGTGGTGACTCCATATCTTGCCCCACACCACTCCTCCTCTCAGAACGAATCCATAGCAACACCTTCCTACTGTTTACATGTCTCAGTTGGACATCGCTGTGCTTGAAATCAGACTCCTCCTTGATAAGGTGTTAAATGGAAGAATCTATGAGAAGAAAACTGAGAAGAAATTTGGGGAAATATCTAGCAAGCTAATGCTCTGGTTTTATTTTACTTTGTAAGATTTATTTTCTTTATTTGAAAGAGTGCAATGGAGATCGGGAGAGCCAGAGAAAGAGATCTTCCATCCACGATTCACCCTAAATGGCTACAATGGCAGGGGCTATACCAGGCCAGAGCCAGGAACCCAGAAACAGAGCTTCATCTGGGTCTGACATCACAGCAGGTACCCAAACACTTGGGCCATCCTACTGCCTTCCCAGGGGCATTAGTCAGATGCTGGATTGGAAGTGGAGCAGCTGGGTCATGAACTGGCACTCTGATATGGGATGCCCATGTCGCAAGTGGTGGCTTATCCCATTATACCATAATGCCAGCCCTCAACTAATGCTCTGTTAAGGGCAAGGTTTCCTTTCTGAAAATAAATTGAACTTTGATTTGATGTAGGATATATGATATTGAAATCTGAGGAATGGTCTCCAAAGATGATCAGGCCCTAATAGTTGGAACCTGTGAAGGCAGTCTTACATGGAAGAGGGAAATTCACACATGTGATTGAATTAAGGGTCTGGTGTTGGGAAGATTGTCCTGGATGTTCCTGGTGGGTCTTTGGAAGAGAAAGGTGGAAGGAAACTCTACAATAGGAGGAGAAAACATGCCATGCTAGAAGCAGAGATTGGAGTGGTGCATTTTGAAGGTGGAAGTTAGGGCCCAAACCAAGAAATATATGTGACCCTTAGGAGGAGCAGCAAAAGGCATTAGGGAGCGTGTAGCCTCACCAGCACCTTGACTTCAATCCAGTGAGACTCAGTTCAGACCTCTGGTCTCTAGAACTGTAAGATAATACATTGCTGCTGCATTAAGCTACCAAATATATGCTGATTTCTTACAGCAGCCTTAGGAAGCTAATACTGATAGTACCTGGCAAAATTGTTGTAGTTTCTGAATTGCCCTACATATTGGAAGACTGCTCTGAAAAAAAAAATCCACAAAATTTTGTTCAATGTGCAACATTTGGTTTATTAGATTTTTATTTATATTATTTTTTTGAGAGGCACATAGAAAAAGAGAAATCTTCCATCAGCTGGTTGACTCCCTAAATGTCCACAAGGTGCTGAGCAAGAGTTAAAGTCAGGAGCCAAGAACTCAATCCTGGTTCCCCATGGGTGGCAGGATATACAATTATTTAAGCCATCACTACTGCTTCCCAGGGTCTCTATTTACAGGAAGCTGGAGTCAGGCGCTGGGGCCTGGGAATCCACAGGTATGTGATTGGAACCCCAGGTATGCTTACCCCTAGCCAAACACCCACCCCAGTGAGTTTCTGTAGACCTAAATGTGCCCTAGGCACTATTCATTTGTGGAAATTATTTGGAATGAAGACTAGGAATGAAACCTTTCAGTTTTTTAAGGATTGAACTGTGGCCGCCTCGAGGTTGTTGATTTTAACCTGGAGTGGCTGTGAATGCAACCTTTGTGGTGGGGTCTGGTTAGATGATATAATTAAGATAATGCCAGAGGGCTCTAATCCAACTGGACTGGCATCTTTAGAAAAGGGGGATTTTTGGATATGGAGGCAGACACATACAGGGGAGGATGAGACAAAGACACAGGACGACACGGTCTGCAGATGGGGAGCACCTGAGGCTGCCCGAGCTAGGAGAGGGCAAAGAACAAGTTCCCCTCACAGCTCTCCAGGAACCAGCCC